GGCGGGGGGAGGGGCGCCTCCTGCCGCCGGGATTCAGACGGGACTGGAAACCAGCTTGTCCCGGGAATCACGGCTGGGACAAAAACGTCCAGTGGAGACCTCGTGAGCTTTAGGGGGGCTCAGCGAGGGACACTGGGGCTAACGTGGGAGCTGCCACGCTGCCTCTCCTGCCTGGGTGTCCAGTCACCCCTCTGTGATTGTCTCCCCCAGTCTTCACCCTCCGAAAGGGTTTGGGCCGCGGGCTCCGCTCCACCCCCTTCACTGCTAGGAAAATTGGCCATCTCCACCCCTGGGGCCGCCTCCCGCCCGCGCAGTGGTGATTCGGGCCATCCACTCAGATCCACATTAACGAGGTTTCTCTGGCACTTAATTAGTTCGCAGGGCTCAGTCTAGAGAAGGGGAAGACACAGGGCGGGGCAGGGCTGGGCAAGTCCGGCTGGACGCTGGCAGGAGGGCAGGACCCCCAGCGCGGCAGGGGCCTCCCGCCCCGCAGAGACCAGGGGCTCCCTCCCCAGTCGTGGGAGCACTGCAAGCCCAGAGGGGGCCCCCCCAGAGCAGAGGGAAGTGGGGTCCTCGGGGAGGCCCTGGCAGCCCACGGCCGCGCACAGCTCCAAGTCGGCCTCCGACTCCCTGCACCTCCACCCGGGCCGAGCCCCCACCCGCCACCCGCCGGCGGGCGTCCCCCTGCACACAGCGCGGGAGGTGGGCGCAGATGGCCCAGGGCGAGGCCCATCTGCCCGCCGGAGCTCACAGGTCACCGAGCCACCCGAGTGCTGCGGTGCAGCCCACCCGATCTGCCAGCACTCTGCCCCCTCGGCCACCCAGCCCGGGCCCAGGAGCCCAAAGAAAGGAGCGCTGGGCAGCGCTGTGGCCTGGGGTTCCGGTCCCCACATCCGGCACTGTGTCCCTGGTCAGAGTCCAGCGTCCAGCGCCCCCTCCCCAGAGGTTCCTGGGAGAGTAACAGTCCGCACTGCCCTCTGCCTGCCCGGGGAAAGCCTCCCACGCGGTCGGAGAGCCCCAGGCCCACCGGGCCCAGCCGGAGCCGGCGGCGCAGCCTGGGGGTGTGCGTAGGGAGAGGGAGCCAGCAGGCGCCACCCCCGAGGCCGCAGGCAGGCGCTGGGCCGGGAAGGCGGCCACCCGCTAACGGGAGGCCGGGGCAGG